ACACACACACACACACACACACACACACGCAGGCTTACAGTCACATGCATAATATAATAATATATGAATAGCAATATAAACAATAATAATTTTAAGCTAGATAAATACTCAATATTGTTCTGATGCATGCTCTAAGGTCATATGAATACTTAGATTGTTGTTGTTGTTGTTGTTGTTGTTGTTGTTGTTGTTGTTGTTGTTGTTGTTGTTGTTGTTATCGATCCAGCAATAGCTGAGCTCTCGCCATTCTGTCCTATGCCATGTAGATGAATACTTATAACGAGATGGTTAAGATGAAAAAAAAATGATGGACGATGGTAAAAATGACCTTCTGTATCTTTCTTTGCTACAGATTAGAAGCCTAGGTCTTTTACTTCTGACTGATGATTTTATTTGAGGGAACAAGGGCTGTTTGTTGTAAAAAAAAGATGGAATTAATATTTTTAGCGCAAGCTGTTATGTACAATTCATCTAGATAGGGGAAGGTAGATGTTTGAAATTTTACACGCTTTCCGTATTAATCGATCTAATTTTTCTTAAATAATGAGCTTCCTTAGAAAAAATAGTCTTTTGTTCACTTTTGTTCACTCTTTAGCATCCACATCCATCTTTATGTCGATGAACCTTTTATTCATATGCTAACATAATATTTTAAAAAAACCCGAATAAAACAATCAGATTCTTTAGTGGGTTCACAGATGGATTTGCCATACGGTGTTCATATTGAAAATTAAAAAAATAATACCTATTTACCTATTTTGTTCAAAAGGACCTTAAAAAATTCATATTTTCAAAACTTGAAAGCAAAACCCACAGCATTAAATAAATAAACAAATAAGTAAATCAAAATTAAAAAAGCGACAACCCCCCCCCTGAAAAAGCCCCCCAACAACAACCAACCAACCAACCAAACAAACAAAAACCACCCCCATTCCCCCCATAAGGGTGTCTCAGAAGTCACCAGATTGCACTTCTGTCTGTGTTTAGCCCACAAAAACAACAACAACAACAACAACAACAACAACAACAACAACAACAACAACAACAACAACAACAACAACAACAACAGAACAAAAGCGAAAACAAAATACAAAAACAAAAATCAAGCAACAAAGCTACATTGGCCTGCATTATACTCAAACCAGCACATCTAACATGCTGTAAGCACTTCCTTTTTTTCTCTTTATTCTTTCACGGTGTGAGCTGGCGCAGATATGGAAGC